TTCATCTCAACTCAGTAAATCAGGTACGCCGATGTTTGTTCCGGTGTTTTCCTATTCGCATTATTACATATTTCTCTGAGGTCAATCTATTTTATTATGGATGCTATTTAAAACTCACAAGGGCTAAACTACGGTATCTATAAAACGAGCACGGAATAATGACCAGAAGGCAAAAACTGCACCTGTATATTTCCTCTTCCTCTTCAACACCATTTGACATTAATATTTTGACATGGTGATAATTATTTGTTTACCTACCCAGTTACGTATACATTAGATATATGCGAACGACATTAGCACCCCGGTCAATAGATCTGTTCAATGATATGACATTCTCAGCTTCCTGGGGAGAATACAACCGTCAGGCACTGAGTGATTTGCATTCACATCACAATATCATACCACATGCATATCACCAGCGTATATAAATTTACAATTAAAAAGGTGGTGGGTCTGTATTTCGCAGATAAAACATCACCACTCAAATGTAAGTTGCATTCTTATTTTCGTCTCTTAAAATAGTAAACTAAACGATTTTGTAAATACATTGATATCCGGATAAGGAAATATCCACACAGCTTAATTTCTTCGTCTGTAGACAATACATATAACATAGGAATTATCTGAACATAGTGTTGTCTCATTAAATACATGCTATGGAGACATTCCAGTAAATGTCTTTAATGCATGTTGTCAATATATTGAGATCAAATATTTTCTGATGTTGCTATTAGCAACGTGATGTTATGGCAGCGTCTGAATAATGGAAATAATTTCCATCGCTCTTTTTCTATCAAAGAATCAAATTGCATCATTTTATCATATAAATTATGGGCAGATATATTTTATACGTTTGATGAGGAATTGATAGAGCATGCGTATTGGTGTAAAGAATAGATAAAATATTGGATTCAGGGAATGTGTTTTAGAACAAATTAAAATAAAAATGTATCCTCGTTTTTACAAAACAAAAACTGGAGTCAGTGTCAAAAGATATCCTGAGATTTAAATCCAAGGACTCCAAACTTCCTATATTAACCCTTGCTCCTCCCTCACACACCGAACCCCACCACCAACATAACTCAGTATTCAACAGCCGAGAACGCTAATATATCCAACCATCCGTGACGTAGTTCCCGGACAACCAGATATGCCTGTATCGAGATGAAATAGGCCTCGGTTTGCACTTGTTTCTTGTATACATCTGTGTCCCGTCCAGCAAAAACCTACAGAGATCTAGTCGTGCGGCATTCCGCTTTCAGTAACCAGCCTTCACAGGTTGACTTGGTGACATTGTGATGACATGTTTTATGTTTTGTGGTTTTGTTTTTTAGCGTAATAATAAAACTTTTCTGCCCCCACTTCCAGGCATATATTTTTGTTCTGTGAAAGAAGGTCGTTACAAACCTTATTTTCTTGACTTCAACAAACAAAACTTGTTATGTTAAACTCCGAGGCGAAATGGTAAAAACATATTTAATGATAACCCACCACATCTCACTTGACAAACTCACAAATTGAGAAAGACGTGCATTCTGCCAACCATATAACATGTTTATCTAATGCAAATTTTCAAGATGCATATTTTACCAACAGCCTTTAATGAGCAAATTAAAATATTTGATATAACCCGACTATAACATACTGTCGAAGTAACAGATTTTATTGAGTACTCACAATATATAATTTTGAATGGTTCATAAGATGGAGTAGAATTCAGAGAGTGTGAAAAAATGTGAATGTATTATATATTTGTAAATTATAATATTTAACACACGGAATAATATGAATACCCATGTAATAAGTGAATAGTACTTTAGGGGTCTGGTGAAGAGTTGAGCTCACCCAGTATGTTCTCCACTGCAAGAAGGTGCATGTTGGTTTATGCCGCAATATTGCAGCAATATGGCCATGGCCCGTTAATAATCAAGCCCGGGCTAAACAAACCCCAGGACCAGCTTAAACAGTAGGACCATTGTGTGTGAATGTTATTTATTCACAATGAGAGCCATCTGGAAAACTGCAAAGTTCTTTGTGGGTTAAGTTATTTTGTTTCAAATGTCTTTTGCTTTCATAAACAGCTTTAGGCGTTTTTACATATTAAACTCTATTGAACATGTTTGTTTTTGTAATAACACCTGTCATTAATTTTTATGACTATTAATTTTTATCATTATGATTTTAACTCAATGAATGTTTTAAACACCAACATTCTACTTGGTACATTTTCTGAGAACGTAATGTGTATGCTTGTAGAAAATATTACGCATTTATACAAAAAAACATCTTCCCATTATATGTTTCATAATATCTTGAAATTAACAGTTGTACACGCCTTTCTAACGATATTCTAGCATCGTGGCGGGGTACAGCAGAAATTGGCTGCATACATTTACCCATGTTGAGAATAGAACCCGGACCTTCGACGTGACAGCTCGGGTACCCAGCGCGAACAGGTACTTACTGTTATTGGAACATACTCTGCATAGGTAAGTAACAAACCAGGAAAAAAACTCACTCACTCACTCACTCACTCACTCACTCACTCACTCACTCACTCACTCACTCACTCACTCACTCACTCACTCACTCACTCACTCACTCACTCACTCACTCACTCACTCACTCACTCACTCACTCACTCACTCACTCACTCACTCCAAATGCGGATGACACGTGCACTCTGCAGAAACTTATCACAGGTATGAAGATATTTCCTTACCGGTAGCTCAGGACATGTGTTCCCGAACACCTGGTGTCATCACTGATTTTCAGTGGCCCATTCATATACGTTTGCCCTCTACACCAAAGGGATTCAATTTCTGAGGATAGTCAGTCATACATGGGTATTATTTTACACTGACGATGTATATTTCATTTTCATGCAGGTAATTTACAACAATCACTCAGACGCTGAATCTGAAACTTGCGGAACCGCCACCGTAGCGTTGGGGTAGCCTAGTGGTTAAAGCGTTCGCTCGTCACGCCGAAGAACCGGGTTCGATTCCCCATTTGGGTACAAAGTGTGGAGCCTATTTCTGGTGTCCCCCGCCGTGATATTTTGCTGAAATATTGCTAAAAGCGGCGTAAAACTATACTCACTCACTGTAGTGTGAAGGATACAACAGCTGTCTGATCTTATTACCTAACTTCAGTATACCAAAGAGGACGAACTATCGTGAACGCGATATTAAATCAGATTTCAACACATCCCACTGATAGGATAAGTCTTTCCGGGCAAGTGATGTTTATCTACATAAACTAATGAAGCTAATCCATGCACAGGGATACTGGGTTACAATTGGTATTTAAAAAAAACCAAAAACATGCTTAGCGTACGAGGAGACTAACGGGATTGGGTTGTCAGGCTGCTTGTCATCGCGTCCAAACTGTGTACATCGATGCCCACACGATGTCAATAATATGATTGTTTGGTCCAGAATTGACCAAAAACAACAAAATCCCCACATGGATACAATGTGTGGAGCCCTTTTCTGGTGTCCCCCGCCGTGATATTAACGTGTAAACATACGTACTTATCGAATATTTATCATACTGAATGATCATCAGGTGTGGCGCTGTCAGTATTGATGTTACTTAACAGACATGAGATTTATATTTAGCGTATTTTCACGATACTGGTGGGTTTTTTTAACTCTGAAGGATACATTTTAAGATGCTTTTGAAAACAGCTGCATTAGTATTTTTAGATATCGCTCCAAATATAGCATTTTATCACTTTGTTCATAACAAGAAAATATTCGACAGATTTTATACTTTCGTCAAATCAACAGAAACATTTCAATAAACATAAAAATCTTTCTTTTTCCACTATTCGATTCCAAATATACTCATGCCAATAATGGTTGTCACCCCCTCCCCACCCCAACCCCACACACACCTCAACCCCACCCCACCCCACACCCCTCTCCATTTAAAAACATTGAAGGGATGACAACCATTATTGGCATGAGTATATATTATACGAATCTGTTTATGAATCACTGTTGTGATCATCATTATGATGCCACCGGGTGTTTACGATGACACCGGGTGTTTACGAAAGGGTCTGCACATACTGTCCCACCACTTGCTCACGTCGTACTCATGCCAAAGAATGCGAACATCGTCGGTTAATTGAACGTAATTAGATACTGAAGAATACCACATATATCCGTTTTTAAAGTTTCATAAATAACACGAATGAGCCATGCATAAAATGAGACGGGGTGAGCGAAATACCAAATATCCTTCATGTTTCGCATGCATGGTGAGTTCAGTATCTCTAAAGATTTCATCCTCGATGTTGGTCATAGGGGAACGGATGTGGAATTCTTTCCAAAGTGTGTTAATGTAATTCAGATCCACACCATAGATAACAATGGGTATATTGTTGAATATCTGATCCGTAATCAATGAATGAAACAGAAAACAAATGGTATGGCAATGTTTTTTAAGCATGTAGAACTGATGAAAGGAAGCCCGCATTACATCACTTGTATCTTTTGTTGTCATTCGTTTCTCTGTATGACTGCGGCGTAAAACTAAACTCACTCACTCACTTTTCTCTGTATCAATAATCTTTGGTCACATTATACGAGATCTAGAGATCATGTAATTGTAATACCAGGAATTCATTGCTTTTTGGGGCGGTGGGGTAGCCTAATGGTTAAAGCGTTGGTTCGTCACGCCGAAGACCCGGGTTCGAATCCCCACATGGGTTCAATGTGTGAAGCCCATTTCTGGTTTCCCCGTCGTGATGTTGCTGGAATATTGCTAAAAGCGGCGTAAAACCAAACTCAGTCAGTCAGTCAGTCATTGTTTTTTTATATAAATGATTAAAACCACCACGGTATTCTCTGATTACATTATACGAGGAATCACTTAATCGTAATCCTGAAAGGTGATGTTTTTTGGTAGATATGGTTAAAACATATTTTTACAGTTCACGTGAATAGTATTTCTTTTAACAGAAAAATAAAACCAACTCAGACACAGTGTGCTATTTTATACATTTTATTCCATGTTTGGAATGTTTCAATAAATAGTACTTCTATACAAGCTGTAAACATACATGATCCATGATGCTTAGAATAGTTAAGTTGGTATCTGTATAATAAATAAACGACATATACATAAGTATGTAAACAACATTTTATAAATTAATATGATGACATGACTAGAGGACTCTTAATATGTAGGCGTTATAACCCGCTATACTTTCTTACGTGCTAATGAGAAAGTGTCGGATTCAACTTGTACAACGATGTTTGGGAATGTCTTATAATCTTCTTGTGTAAAAGAGTGCTGAGTACTATTGCACTGTAATATTAGTTTCGCCACATATGATCGTGACCTACAAATTTTAGGGACGATGATGATAATTATTTTGGAATATATTTCTATCTGTCTTACATCTCATTTGGAAATTTTGAACTTGTAAATACATAAAAAAGTAACTTCTACTGAAAATACGATACGATCGCGATCATAGGAAGTAGCAAATTAAGTTGGAATTCAACTACGGAAAGTGCTTCTGTAATGGGAACTTCTACTCATATCCAGCTTTCTTCCCTTGATGAGAGAAGATGATCTAAGCACAACAGTCACAAGTTTAAACAGAACTAAATACTGGTACAACTTGTACAAACAACATAGTTCAAACAGCACTTATTCGGCTCATCCACCAAACCGTGGGTACTGCGCGTCACTAGTTTCACGTAGGGAATGTCTATTTGTGGATCAAGTCCGATCTCCCATAGGATGTGAGAATTGCAGTTACAATTCGATTCCGCTGGACCATGACTAGATGAAGGCTGAGCCGCTTTGGATCTACACCAATTTTTTTGTCATCTCTGCTGCCTGTCATTGTCAGCGGAATCCGGTAATTGAGGCTGTATGTTCCAGAGCCTTCCGTCTCAGTTGGGCAATGCTTGTCCCTCTCCAAGCATCATCAATTTCAGGCATGCCACAAGTCATCTGGGATGAGGGGAGGGAAGGGGATGGAGAGTTTCCAGTCAGGGGTGATGCACACGATGACGCCGCCATTCCGTAAGAAGTGTTATAGATAGGGCTTCCATTTGATACTGTTAAGCCGTTGCCAAGAGACACTGAAGGGTTGCACAGACCCATTGGAACCTGTGAAGATAGAGACTGTGCTGTGACTTGACGTGGTAATGTTGCTGACAAAGACAGATGGTTGACGTTGCCATTCATGTGACTGCCGATTTGGGACATCCCCCATCGACTTTCCGAAGGGGGAAAAGCGCAGAGCGAGTCCCCCATTGTACCAAAGGGAGATAATCCTGTAGATGGCAACAGAGCGCCGGGGGTGCGGAAAACGTTTGTGGCCTTCTTCCTCTTCTTCCATTTGGCCCGACGGTTCTGGAACCAGACCTGGAACACGAGAGCAGCAATTGTCAAATCTGTCACAACCATGGAATTATTACACGCACTTTGATATTTATGAACCCGGAAATGAGTAGAAAGCCCCCTTTGAAATTGGCTTTTAAATTGTCGAAAGGTTTGTGAGATTAATGTTCGACTGAAAACCACGTGTCCTTGTTAAAAGCATGGAAGACATCACTGTCGCAATGCAGCAGGTATATGGAGTAAACGCTCAAGTGGGATGAAATGCGCTTGTTAATGCTTTCACCTGGCACTGTGAAAAAAAGACAACTTTAGCTCGACTCTTTTACCCAACTTTAATTCATAATGACAATATTGTCTTCAGTTTCAAGTATCAATAACGTCAATCACCTGACTTAAAAACATATTTTTCATTCTCCAAAACCCATAAGAAGAAATTCAATACAGTTGAGTCTATTGGCGAATCATTGTTTGCAATAATTGAACTCTATGACTTCATGTCGATCTCACAGCAGGGCCGGGCGTAATTTCGTCCTTTCTCTAAGTAACGACTGATAGGCGACATACACAATGACTTTATCAAGGTTCAATAAAGCCCCATGGAGTTGTATATAAACTGATAATTAAGCCAGTGTTATTGCCAGCTCTCTCATTATCATAGAAGGATGTGATTGATGTGAAGACGGGGGACAAGCCTAAGCTAGGACAGAGGGGTGTCGACAATCACACGGCAATGCATGCTGGGAGTTTAATTAGACATTCAGGATAGTTCCCGCTCCTATTGAGGGTCATTACAATAATGTCCCTTGTGAGACGGATGTATTTGTAGTTTCATTATGCCGCAACAGTGTGGAGGCAAAAGACAAGTAGAGGTCGCGCCGCCCAGATTCATGTGATAATGAGTGAAATGCGACGGAAAATAATGTTGTTATTCGTAAAGGATTGTTTAGGTAGATTTCGTGGTTGGGTGCCATATGTTTTGCTTGAATGTCGCATCGACGGGCTCGGTTGGAAAGATGAATTAATTTGTCAGAAAACAAACAATTTGACATTGTTCTTTGGACGGTATTTTAATAGATGGCGCTGCGACCTGACAGGGAAGGACTATGGGTCTGTCAACATTCAATGTTCTGGCATCAGAGCACAACAGAAACATTAGAAGCTGGGTGATAAAATTGCGTTCGTTGTCAGAGATTCATAATTCACTGCTTGTTAACTTGTTTTCGCTGATTGACTTGTGTGTTAAAAGAATTATCATAATTTGTTTGTACAATTTGAATCTTGTCAGAATGATTTAGTGCTAGATATTGATCTATATTTCCTCGAAAAAATAGTTCACTCTTAATTATGAGTCAAATGTAGGGCGCATTTCTTTCTTTTTTTTGATGGTGCGTTTCGCTTGTAAGACAAAATATTACTTTAAGATTTCTTTCTTACCTTTACCAACAATTTAAGATAATTACTTTTCAAAATCGTTGCGTATTTTCAACATACATGTAGATTCAGTTCAATCTAAAAATATGCGTAAGTGATTAGTTGGTGTATGGAGACGTTATTTCAGAATATATATATTGCATTAATATTAAATTTGATCCCTATAAATGTTTCAACATTAAAAGGAAACTGAAAGTCAAAGTTGCTTGATAAGTGAACGTCATTCATCATCACGCTTTATTATGCTCTTCTCCAGCCAAACCATCCCAATATTCACGGGTTAATTGGAGACCGCTATCTGAGCGCTAATCTATTACGTCATGCTTACAATGACCACGGCCATTAATTAATGACATCGCCAAATATTTCATTTGATTAATTAATCTCTGACTTTTACAAACTTAACCAGCCGAGTGGTGACATCTTATCTAAGACCTTTGCACGAAATTATCAATACATTAGCGATAATTTGCAAATATTTGATTTTCATAACACTAAACATTGTCAGCCATCAACTGCATTTGTGTTCTGGCTAAATATATTTAATCATCTATCACGTGGCTAGCAATTGTCGTTGAGCGCTTCCTAGATCAGCATATCTAATGGCATCGGGCCTTTCCTCCCTTTTGTTCAGCGGCGAACTAATTGATTCGGATTGGTTGGTCACTCGCTTGCACGTGCGTGCTCTTAACGCGCACAATCCGCAAAACGATCACATGTTTGCTTAGAGACTGATCGGACGTTTCGATGACAAACAAGCCCGGTTGTTTCCTTTTATTTTTGCTTCATCATTTGTTGGACCACTTGCCACGATAATCGGCATATTTAATGATATAATTAGTCAACTTAATAACATTGCCCATTGTGGCTTGATAGCCTCCAGAAATCAAGAAGTGCAACCTCTTATGTTGTCAGACTCTGAAATACGTTGCAAATTGAGGAATTGAAATGATGGAGGAAAATAAAACAACCTTAATAGAAATTATGATTAGTTTATACACTGCGTCAACCGCCTTGAGATATTGGGTAGAGCAAGAACTGCCGTGAAACAGCGTAAAGGAAGAACTATAATTCTCTTCCAATATTGATGCAAGGTCTACAAAAGTGAACTCTCACCAAAAACATATAAATTTGGTGTTGGAGATAGAACGAAAAAAGATCACAGTAATAAACATTAAAACGAACAAAGGATGAGAAGTATAATTAGAGGTCTTAAGATGAATTTAAAGAAGGAAAGAAAACATCCTTCCATGTTTTGCGTATACATTTCATAAATAAATTATATTTTCCTTCACTTACTTTATACTCAGTTTCTTTCTTCTTCGCGTTTAGTCATGCAAATACTTTTCAAAATACTCTTAATTCAAGCATTAACGGACACAGACAGTGGAAATGATTATAATTCGGAAGGAAAATGTCTCACGGACTTACCAAAAAATTAAGATTCGATAAATATCTAAAAGTTTCGACATAAAGCCATTCACAAAATTACTTTTACTATTACAATGTATACCAACGAGCCAAGCACGTGTAACGCTCAGCTGTGTGTATCAATTCAGTGAAAACTTAGGACTGGATTCAATGTTAAACTCATCATGACATGATTCTCTCACCACGGAGGTTATAAGTAATTATAAGCGAAAGGTTTCGCCACAAAAGGGATGATTTCTTTATGAATGTGTAACTGTAAAACTTAAATACCACGAAGACACTATAAACGGCTTGCAGTAGTTCACGGGCAAAGAGAGCCAGAAGATTTGTTCGTGAGGAATGGTTGAACAGATCACGCTCTCTCCTGAAACAATGGACTTCATTATTCGTCCACACTCTCCCGCCCTCAAGGAATCCAGGGATTATTACGTGTTAAACTAATTCACGCACAAAAATAAGTTGTCTACGCATTCGGTTTCTTGTATTTCAAGTAATGTTTAATAGCCCAGAAAATAGATGAATTGCAAATAAATGTGGCAGGGTTACATCGGATAAAGGCTTGTGAATGCCCCTAGTCTAGCAGAAAATTATCTCAATCAGCCCTGTTAGAATGGTCGTGGCACTGACTTTAAAACGCAAAGAGTCGGTCCGAGGTTTCAAAAGTCGTGATATCAATTCAGTTTGAAATGGCTATTTAGGATTAATTACTGCGTTAACGATCTTACGGCAAGCGGGCTCTATCTGTAGTCCCTCGTGGGACACACTCGTGCCGGCAACATTGACAGCACGCGCGGTCTGCGTCCCACCGCACGCGAAACGGGAATAAGTGGGGACGGAATTCTGTCCTCGATCTCGACTCCTGGTCGACTAAACTGATCTCTAGCGACTGAAAACGAGGAAGGGAGTCCGCGGTGGTTAATATCTTCATTATAGAGGTGTCAAAACCGAATCTTCAACGCATTTTCAATGAAAATATAATAATCTCAATGCAAATGCACAGTCTCGGATTGCGTGCTAGCGATGGGGAAAGCCCCTGACGGGCCCAAGACTGGAAAAGCGACTTCCAGGAGGTTGTAGATGAACATCTTAGTCAACAACCTTACCGTTACAACGCTGCGAAAATTTTCGTAAATTATTTTCTAAACGAGAGTTTTTTTAAGGATCGAAGCTATCCCCCTTGTGTAACTGAACGTTATTAGATGGTCATTTTTTAAATGTCAAACAATACACCAAAGAGATGAATGCATATACTAGATGTATGACGTTACCAACACAATTGATATTATTTCACGAAACGAACTATTTAAAGAGTGCAGGCATTACAACAAAGATAATCAAACGAACGCATATACACAAATTTTAAAACGTTTAGCCATAGGCGTGTCATTATTGTCAGTTTGATTATTTTAATACCATTTATTTGAGTCATGTATTCTTCTATTGCCAAATATTGTTCATGCTATCTTGAGCAAGATTACTAAATCAACTGCATATATTAAAACTTTATCTAAATCCTAAATCAGTGTAAAGAAATCTAGATATTATTTACTAGTTTCTAAGAGAGTCGGGACATCAGGTTTTAATAATACGCTGTATCATTTTGATCAAGTGAATTCAAAAATTGAGAATATGCGTTGAAAATAATTAATTCTACCTATATCAATGCTATCTTTTTCAGTTTGGAGGCTCAGAGTACATATGCGCAAGACTAAGTACCTCAACGATTTCACAATGAAGAATCAACGTCGTTCAAAACCTTAAATATATTAAAGATTATACAAGTGAATTCCTTTTCACTCTACCACGTTCCACGGTTCTCTATATCAAATCTTATTCAGGTGTTAAACTCTGAAGTAAAACAATACATTTCACAATGCTCGGCAACCCCAGTGTGTCAATTACTCGAGTCTTGAGATAAAAATGCATCTGTACGCGTACATGTTCACAACCATTCACAATAGATGACCTTTGTCAAACTAAGTGAGGCAAGAACATTTACTGATAATTGTCACACAAACGTCATCACGTATTTATATATTTCTTCTTTAACATTTCCTCAGAGATAGGCGATAACACGCGTCTGTCACAAATATGCTAACATAGGAAATGCCTTAAATTGCAAACCTATTGTCACTTATTATTCTCATTGATACTTTGATGGCGCTAACTAGCACTGGATAAATTTTTTTGGCAAATGTTTAGATATTTTTTAATAAACCAGCAGTATGAAATTAATTTTGTTTGGTACACGATATCAATGGATTTTTAAAATGTTAAATTTGCCCTTGCAATGTGTGTTAAGTTCAGCTCAAATTTAGTCTGACATTATATATAACACTACGTACGGAAAAACATGCCATTATTATTCGCTGAATATATCTTGAATGTAAAACATGTAGAAAATTATCCATACTTTATAAGTAGGTATCGCAATAATTCTCACTTGTGTACAAATCTGACGATGAATATTTATTTATATAAACTATGTTATACAAGCACCATGTTTTTTTTCCTGAGAAATATGTGAGAAACAAATCTTCGGATGTGCATTCATTCATTCATGTTTCCCATAGATACCTTGCAAAGGTGTTGACAGCAGCATGTTTAAGCGACAGGTGAAATACATACAGGGGCTTTCAGTGTTGAACTAAACCTCGCACGGTAGGCCGTTAATGGATATGGTTGGGGAAACTGTGACACCGGAAAGCAAATACACCAGTTTCCTTGTAGAACAGTATTACATAATCACTATAAAACCGGTAATTGTGTGTTTATTTGCCTTAGCAATGGTGTGTACGTTATACGGCGTAATAAACATTGTGCTAATTATTTCTCTTAAAACTGTTTATATTCTGTTGTGTATATTACTTGCTGTGTGCGCATATTTTACCAAGATTCTTTCTAACTATTAATTTGTTGTTATATTGTGAATTATTTAGCGCAAGTAAAGCAATATGACATTTTTCGGATAAATAATTATCTTTTATAAGTATAATATCTTCATATAATATCATTCTGTATATTCTAAAACTCAAATTTACTTGAGTAACACAATATACGACATATTATGGTGCATCCATTTTTAGATCTTCCATACATAATATTTTAATACTTTTCATGAATTCTTTAGGTGATATAATGAATACACCGAATACCCGTGACAATACACAATCATCGCACGTGTCTAATGATGAAGAAGTACGTATGCTTTTGAACAACCACGTCATCTTTAGCACATTCCACGGAGAATATAAATCTGATAAGATGTATTTGGTGCATTATCATTTCCAATCTGATATTCAGGGTGTTTTGAACAAGTAGGGTTATACCGCATGATCCCAGGAGGATATATACCTGATACTAGTAATATACATTTGTTTCACTATCTTTTTCAATCTGCTATTCAGGATGTTTTAAACAAGCAGGGTTATCCCGCATAATCCCAGAAGGAAATATACTTGAAAATATATATTTGTTATACTGTCATTTTCAATATGATAATCGGGATGTTTCGAACAAGTAGGATTATCATCACCATCATCCAGAAGGATATACACCTGATAATATATATCATTTTCAATATATCTGATATTCGGGGTGTAAAAAAATACATACCTGGACTCGTGATTCCGTGAGCCCGATTCGAAGTGCCAGTTCTTCTCGCATGAAGATATCTGGATAATGGGTTTTCGCGAAGCTTCGTTCAAGCTCGTTGAGCTGGGCAGGGGTGAACCGGGTTCGATGTCGCTTTTGCTTAGCGGGTTTGTCTCCTCCGTCGTTTGGGGAAGACAGCTGTGTTTGTTCGATGGGGCTTCCTCCATCCCGCCGGTCCGTGTTCTCTTTCATCTTTAGCCCGTCCTCCTTCAGCACTGAAACCAAACGTAGGTATCTTCACAAGAGGGTAAGTAAAACTCCAAACAGGTAGGTTCCTTGAGTAAATCATTTTGCCGAAATATATGAATAAGACAATATTTCTCTGTGAGGATTTCGTTTCTATATCCAATGAGTTTCGGCAGGGTTCCAATATAACAGCAAGCCCGATTCAGCAAAGCTGAAAATGTTTGGCATTTGACTTCAACGTCGCCTAGCGCTACACGCTGGAGAGTGGAATTGCAAACAAGGTACTAAGTATTTTATTCCCTGCCCCGTCACATATAAATTGAAAATGCATAAATCAGCTAAATATGGGCAATATATCGTAATGAACACCCCTGTAGCGCAGCAAACTGACTTCTACGATGAGTGACACTTTAAGAGGCGATCTCATATCGAAACAGTTAGTTGTAAACGAGCAGAAATTGGTACGTGCAGATTTAATTTTAGAAGAAATGAATTAAATCAAGCGCCGGTCCTATCAGCGGCCAGGCCTATAATAGTCCAAATGAGCAGAATTAGCGGCCCAGGCTAATAACGGCCAATTTGGCAAAACAATAGGTGGGTTGAAGAAGCATTGCCTACCTGATGGCGAACTCGTCAATGTCGTGTCGGAGATTGTGAGATGGGTAGATGCATGTTCTCTGTTCATCGTGAAATGCGTAATGAGGAACAGACTCACAGACTTAATATAATAAGCCTTTACTTCACTCGCTATCTGCCGCTTTCTTTGAAGCATGTAATCCCTGCTCGCCGATTGGTTAGTTTTCATCAAGCGGTCACGCCCCTTTATCCGATGACTCGCATTCAACACCTCCAGCAAAAGGCTGGGGACGTTTATTGCGGCTGATTGAATTGTCGTTTACAATGGTATGGACATATGAATATAGCTTGCCGAAAGTCTGAGATGTAGTTTAACAAGGTAATAAAACTTTCCATCACCTTTTTGCCAGGGTAATCAAAGAGCGCGACTTACCGAGTTTCCTAGCGCGCGTGCAGCTCGAGGATGAATGACTGTGATTACTTGCTAAATCATTTTATTGCCCAAGCAATCATAAAGCAATGTTTTACTGTTTTTCCTTGTTAACAACCATTTTCCGGGAAATGGACAGTGCCATATGTATCCGGTCCGCTATACGATACATATTTATTACACACTTGGTCATAAAACATCTTGCAGAAAAACAGTACCGATCAAAGAAAGTAGAACACGCATTAACTGGTAACAAAGAACTGACCAAGGGTCAGAGAATGTTGGTGAGAGGCAATCTGGCACGTGGGCCGCTATCACCTGCTGTAGGATTCCATAAACAATACCGTCGGCCTTTCCGACGAGTTTATTACACCAATCGCACTCACAAAACAAACCGCTAGACTATGATTCACTTGTATTGACGCACAGATTCACATTCAGATATATCTACGCACAAACAAAAAATCCATAAATTTTAAGAAACACATATTTGCGATTTCGCATATTTTGCTTTAATTTGCACAATTCGTAATTGTATAAAGAACGTTTGCCCTATCAATTTGATCTGTAACACGAAATAATAACCTACGTGTACACTTCGTTTTAGCTATCGTTATTGTTGATATAATCCTTAGCATCAGACAAACTATAACCACAAATTCTTGCGTGTTAAATTCCTTGTAAATAGCATAAATTTGTGATGGCTTTTATGATGGTAAACTTAAAGCGCGTTTACAAATGTAAGATCTGTAATGTACCCATGTATTGCAAATGATATGTCTTAATTTACAGTACATCGTTAAATTCTAATTGTGTAATGAACACAATAATTGAACAATAATGAACACGCATATTGAAGGCGTATATATGACATGAAAATAATAATACATGTAGTTAGAATAATAATGTTATTAAAGGATATTAATATTAGACAACCAGTGCTGTGTATCCAAATCTGGAAACTGACTTCGTCTCTTTATTTGCATTTTTCATTGTGACAAATATACAAGCATGAATCCGCCCTACCTTAACATTTTAATCCCACCAACGTAAATGTGTTCTCTATGTTATTAATCATAATGCCTATTTACAAGACACATGATACGACATCAGATAGACAAATCCATGAATTAGAAGTCGAGATCATATTTCTCATTCTGTATTTGCTGGTATTTTTGTGAGAAAATATTCGAATAAGACATATGCCCCAAATGTCTTTCTCAGGCCCGTTGTGATTTTGTCCGTAAATCGGGACAAGTAAGGATGGATTTGGATAACAGCGGCGATAATGAGTTTTTCTCGTGGTCGCGAAATCAGATGGTATCTATTCACCAACTCGGGTAATGAGACAACTGATTCGACATTCACGATAAACATTTAGTTCTGAATTATTTGATTACATATATTTTCTTCAAAGTAAACACCCTGCAAAGTCCGACTGTCCCTTTGTTCTCATGCCTCCCCATTATTGAACTTTCATAACAACGGTAAAATGTGCTTTGATGGACATAAGGAACATATGTATTTAATCATTTTGTCGCAAAAAGGACATTTAACCGTTGTAGACATGGTACTCTACGACACATGACTGCAGTACATTTGTGAACCCAGATGTTATTTATCATTCTTATTTGTATCCACTGATTTCAATAAATGATTGATTGTCTATTGATTTTCAACAGTGGTTGTCAATGAGCGTCATGTAATAACGTTGGCGACTATGGAAAGGTTTGAATATCCACAATGAAGGATGTTTACTTTAACCACAAACACGCACGCACGCACACACAAGCGCGCGCGTGTGTGCGTGCGCGCGCGTGTGTGTGTATCCGTGAGTTGTGACATAACATTTATATCTCATTCATTAAGAGTTTTGAACAAAATGGTACCTGTCAAAAAGTTGGGAAGAACACGATTAAATCCTTTTTATATACATGAGACATTTCCACCCAAAATTGTAAGTTGTAAAATTCCGACAATATCATGAGCATATCACATCGGCAATATTTCAGCCATATCGTGACGAGAACATTTGATATTGTGTTCATAAAGAGATAAGCGTATCTGGTCCCACAGGTGACATACAATGAAATGTTATGATTTGATCTTGTTTTCAATGTGTGTTCTTATCCTGTGATGCTTTTTTCTTTATTAGTCGCAATTTTCCCAATATTTGTAGAAAATGACATGTTTCATGGAGATGTTTTGTCACCTATATTAGTGACTAATGTTGATTTGTATTTATATAAGATTTCACCTATATTAGTGACTAATGTTGATTTGTATTTTCTATAAGATTTCACCTATATGAGTGACTAATGTTGATTTGTATTTATATAAGATTTCACCTATATTAGTGACTAATGTTGATTTGTATTTATATAAGATTTCACCTATATTAGTGACTAATGTTGATATGTATTTTCTATAAGATTTCACCTATATTAGTGACTAATGTTGATTTGTATTTTTTGTATTTTGTGACTAATGTTGATTTGTATTTATATAAGATTTCACCTATATTAGTGACTAATGTTGATTTGTATTTTATATAAGATTTCACCTATATGAGTGACTAATGTTGATTTGTATTTTATATAAGATTTCAATGTTGATTTGTATTTTATATAAGATTTCACCTATATGAGTGACTAATGTTGATTTGTATTTTATATAAGATTTCACCTATATGAGTGACTAATGTTGATTTGTATTTATAGAAGATTTCACCTATATTAGTGACTAATGTTGATTTGTATTTGTATAAGTTTTCACCTATATTAGTGACTAATGTTGATTTGTATTTATAGAAGATTTCACCTATATTAGTGACTAATGTTGATTTGTATTTATAGAAGATTTCACCTATATGAGTGACTAATGTTGGTTTGTATTTTATATAAGATTTCACCTATATGAGTGACTAATGTTGATTTGTATTTATATAAGATTTCACCTATATTAGTGACTAATGTTGTTTTGTATTTATATAAGATTTCACCTAATATGAGTGACTAATGTTGATTTGTATTTATATAAGATTTCACCTATATGAGTGACTAATGTTGATTTGTATTTGTATAAGATTTCACCTATATTAGTGACTAATGTTGATTTGTATTTATATAAGATTTCACCTAATATGAGTGACTAATGTTGATTTGTATTTATATAAGATTTCACCTATATGAATGACTAATGTTGATTTGTATTTTATATAAGATTTCACCTATATTAGTGACTAATGTTGATTTGTATTTTATATAAGATTTCACCTATATTAGTGACTAATGTTGTTTTGTATTTATATAAGATTTCACCTAATATGAGTGACTAATGTTGATTTGTATTTTATATAAGATTTCGATAGTTGCCATAGTGATCTCAGAAACACGAGCGTCACAAGGACGTTTGCTAAGGTTAGCTATCCTCCACGTCTTCCCCACACCTTTTATCTTCTATGAAGAATAAAAAAACGAGTTCTGCTTTTCTCGGTATCTTTGTAATGCGACGCTGTTTCTGAAGGGACGGTTCATCGATTTGTGTCTGGTGCCTGCAGTTGCATTTCATTCCCAAATAAACACTACGGTCCTGTGTTTCAGTAAATGATGGTGGCATTTGAACGTTGAAGATTACCGCCGCGGATACGTTGAATATGTTGCATAGTGAAATGCATACACGTGTTGCAATGCTCAGGGTGGGGGTGGGGGTGGGGGGCTGAATACTCTGGGTTGCCAAAAATCCCACAACATTTCAAGATAAAATTAAATAAATTTTATGGTCTTTCTTGGAAGGATTTATTAACTTTGGTTCTGTTTTCTCGAAGACTATTGACGCTCAGTATGACACGAGAAGAATGGGTTTTTTCATATTATTTATTAAGGCGATGTATACACACTTGACATTGTCGGTACCGTACAATAGACACTGATTTTAGTAGACATTTATTATGGAAATGTTTCTATTGCACCTTCCATCAAATTGAGGCACTGTGTAATGCTACATCCTTAACGGCTTTCAACTTTGAAAATAAAAACAAATATTTCTCTTTGTCCCTTGTCTAGTGACAAGTTTGGTAATTTCTTTCTGCTGGATTTGTAATTATTTGCAAATTATATGGCTAAGACGGATACTATGTGTATGTTAGATGTAGGTTTTAAAAAGTTTCAATTTTCCATAAATATTTTAACATAGCTATATTCCAAATACAATAACATAAGCCCTCAGTTTTAGATCTTATGTTGTAAAGTATAACAGTAAAATAACAAGGAACAAAGAAGTTGTCTCCGATCCCCTACTCCTAATTTGTCTTAAAAACAAGTGTAGAGCCACAGACATTTAAAAACTGCAAAAACTTCATAAAGGTGCTTAATTATTCTATTTCAAATGCATTTCGAAAGGAAATATACATTTGTCATACCATAAGTGCCGTCCATGTCACGCGAAAGTTCCCTACATGGGTAAACTGTGGGATATCCATTGGTTCTGACCCCCGTGGTGATATTGCCTGAACACTGCTATAAGTGACGAACACTCAGATACTAAGACACTCAGTCTACCAATATCTATGAAGATCATATTCAGTACAAGCCTGGGTGACATTTATTCTAATATCCATCTCAAAATCTGATTTATGAGTGGTTGACATTGTCAGGGGAGATCTTTGAAGCTTCTATATG